ATTCTTGAAAATGTTAAAAAAGAGAGAGAGAAAGGGGCCCCGTGCTGTCTCTCAATGTTCCTGGCAAACAGATTCCAGTCTATGTATCCTTAAAAAATCTGGAATTCTGTATTACATGCAGCTTATATAATTATTTAAATTATTATTCCTTAAAGTTTTGATAAAGCAATGCATTATTAATTATTATCATCTAGGTAATGGCTAGCTACATACTCTGTTCTAAAAAATTATTAGAATTTCATGGTTTGTATTACCAAAATTTAATATTTAGAAATTCAACCTTTTGTATGGACTTTATTACAAACCTTTTCCATTTTCATACAAGTTTGTAAAGTTCCTGTTAAGCGTATAAGATCCTCAAGTGTTATATCTTCTGGTCATTCATAAGTAACTACATTAGTATCTTACCATACTTTACTTAGGCAAATGTGGAGAAATGCATATACAGAGGGTATTTCATGATCTATGGTAAAAACACCTTTATCCTTGTTGTCCTTATGGTTTTTTACTACACAGGTTAAAACCCCTGATCCTCTTGCTATAATTCAGTTGAAGTACTGTGACTTAAAGCATGGATGGCACCTAAAAGTGACCTATTCTAGGAGGATTGTGTTACAAACATTTTCAATGTCTCATATTCCTCTATTATAAGAGCACAAAGTATTAAAGTTTAGTGTCTTAAAGAAAGTGCTATTTGTAACAATAAACCACATCAGAAAACAAGAAGAGCAGGATTCTAGAAAGGAAAGAACAGACTACTTAATGACTACAAGAAGAGGAGAAAAAACGGCATTTACCAGAAGTAATCTAAGACCAGCTGAAGTAGGTAATTCATTGGAACAAATAGCAGTGTTCTCCAACTGAATAGAAATATGTTTTACTGGCCAAAACATAAATCTACTTATACACATGTAAAAACTCAGGCAATTTATTATTCTGCTGTTGATACAAAAATGGAATACAGAGTCTAGAAAAATGCATACCACCAAGCTAATGTGCCAAAACTATGTACATAGCAAAGAAATGCCATTATTGTGTGAACTAGATGTCTATAAAACAAATTATCCAGTCATATGCACAAGACAATATGCCAGTTCCTATACAAAAAACAAAATTACTATTAAATTATTTGCAGATATCTGCCAATGCATTCTGGGTTGTTCAAATAAGCCTTCACAAGTTGTCATCCATACATAATTGATGGACATTCAAGAGCAATAAAAACAATTGACCTCAGCATACCAAAAAAAAAAACGGAATCCTGCAGTGGAAGTTACAATGCACAGCAATATTTCATAACAAGGACCTTCACAGGAAACATCATTGGTGGTGAACACTCCTCTGAACTGTATTTCCACACGTTAAAGAACACCACAAAGTAAATCATACCTGCATGATTAACAATCCCAAATACATGTTCAACTCTGAGCAACATACCAAGCTTCCCAAATACACATTTCTATCTCCTTTTATGAAAATTGTATATCAATGTTTTATCCATTTGAGGACCTATTATTAAAACTCAAGAGTTATCATCTTAAAATGATATCATTATCGTCTATCTTTTCAGTTTAAACTTGTAGTTAACTTTTTCTCTTATTTAGAAATAAAGCATACAAAATTCATAATATCAATATCCACCGTTGTATGAAAAAAATAATTTGAAAATGTTTGAATCTTTTTTTTTTAGAAGCCCATCAAATACAACAGAACAAAAACCTGATTATGTTATGTGTTGGAGTAATCACAATAATGAACTTTCAAAATGCACTGTAACATGAAATAGCCTAAAACGCAAAGCAATATACCTTGAAAGCTATATACAGTACAAGAAAACCAATTACAATACAGATTTTAAGGAAACAACACTGTACTTTGCAAAAATTAACATCAAATACATAAAGGTAAAATAACTATTGTACATTTATTTCTGTATTAAAGTTAATCATTTTTTACAAGTCATTCTCTTCTGCATTATCATCTTCTTGACTGCATCTTTTACGATATTTTCTGGTTGAATGAATACTCTGTTCATACCTTTTAAAACTTACCAAATGTTGTTGACTGGAATTAGAAGCTTCCTGGATATTTACACCATTTACACAACAAGGATATTTATGACTTGGTTCTTCGGTAGATATTCTATTATGTTCATATTTGTTTACACCATTTACACTGCCAGAGAAATCCTGATGATGTTCTTTATTTTCTAGCTTGTTATTTGTGTGATCATTTAAACAAACAGGATGTTCTTCAGATGATTGTATAATATCTTCAGATAAGTTAAGCAATGAGTTAGTGTTTTGTAAAGAAAGTCCTGTACAATGTTTAGAAGTGCTCTGTTGAGTCTCAACATGTGATAATGGTAAATCATTTTCATGACAATGGAGTGGTGAAGGGTCTAACGTTGATGTAGGCAGTTTTAAGGCAGAATTAACATTATTCAAAACACTATTTCCTTCAACTGAATACATTGTATTTGATAAATGGTTACTGGATACATCTGCTAAAGCATTGCTGAAAGAACTGTTGTCAGTATGCTTGTTGCAACAAGATTCTCTACCAGATAAGTTGGCAATGATTGGGTGACTCTCTTTATTAGAATCTGAACTGGAATCACTATCTGACAAATCCTGAAGAATTCTTGCTCTTCTCTTCCTAAGCTTCTTTCTCTTATCTTTTTTATCTAATACTTTTTGAACATCCTGCAGCACTGAATCAAGAACTTTACGGGCTCTAGCATGGCCTTGTTCAGTCTTTGATGTTTTACCTGTGATGGAGTCTTTAGGTTGAGTGCCTGAACACTTTGTACTTTTACTGATGTTTCTAAGGCGTTTTTTTGTTTTTCTTAAGGAGGCTCTAGCAGTCCGTAGAAAATGATCATGTCGTTTGTGAGCTATCAGTTGAGAAATGGGATTTTCGGAATTATCAGAGTTAACATCATTCCACACTTCATTTTCATCATTCAAGTTTGTTAAAGTACTTTCTGCTCTACTAGCCAATGTACTGAGGTAGAATTTAGTTTGAGGACTGAGACTTCCATCTGTGTGATAACTACCTTCATCCTTTTGAGTTTCCTCATCTGAAGATGAGGACAAGGAAGACGACAACAAAATAGAACTTTTAGAGTTTGATGAATCTGACTGAAGTTCAAAACAGGCAGCCAAGAGCTCAGTATTTGTGGTCTGGTCACTAGAATCGGAGGTGTATCCTTTAATGTCTCGCTGAACCTACAAAAATTTACAGACAAAATGTTTAATGTTGTGTTCAGTTCTTATTTTTTATTCTTAATCAAGCAATATAATATGATGAGACAGTTGTTAGAAGTTAGTATTTTCTTGTTAAACACTATGAAAAAATAAGTTACAAAGTATTAGTAGTATGTGATTCTGTATTAGAGGATGTAAGCTACAATTACTGCAAGTCAGTTACCACATAAAGGCTGTCTGCTTGTGTAGCAAATGATCGTTTGCCCTGTCTCGGTGTTCAGGCCTCTGAACTATTAATTTGGAAATTCTTCCATATACTACTACTGACACTTTGAGACACTTATAGCCAATATAAGACAGTCTGTGGTGACTGGCCAGCTTCCACATAAGTAAAATAATCAACGTCTTCTTTAAGATCTTGTCATGTATTATGGAAAAAGTACTGGACACATTAAAAGTGACAACTAAGACAAGACTGTGTAAGTCTATTACAAATAGAGCATAGGCTTAAAGATCAATTTGATCATTTCCATTTAAGTTAAACACTGAGTGGGGGTTATTGTTGTTACCATATAGTAGTGATTTTCTTTTCTTTCATAGCCAAAACATTAGTTGTAGTTGTTGTTTTTCTTCTAATAAGGCTCAAATGTTGAATAAAGTCATATCTTTGAACCTTTTTAAAACTAGTTTTAAAAGTTCAGAGTTTCTGGCTTACAACAGATAGTACATTTTCCAATCTTGTAGTAAAAGCATTTTTAGTTTTATATGGCTGCTGTCATATCCACTAGCAACGATGGTAATGCAACACAAGACATAATGGGGTCATTAATCACTTGAAGTAAACGTTTTTCATTCAGATTTTTCAAAATAATTTAGGAAATTTTATGTGGAACGAACTGAAGAACGTTCACACACCCACACAGTAAATAGTTGCTGCTAAATAAGTATAGTTTCTGGGAAGTTCTTCTGCACCTCTGAACCACTTCTCTTCTGGTCAGGGTTCCTAAGGTGACCTTAATGTTTGTAAGTTTTTGTTTATTATCTGTCTTCTGACGAGATGCACATCTATGATAGAATATGTATGTTTACGTATCTAAATATATACAATCACATGCAAAATGGGCTCAATGTATTGTAGAACATATAATATTCATGCAACATATATAATAATTTGTAAACTTTTAAGAATTACAGGGATACATGTTGCATACATCATAATGACTTGAGTTAAACTAAATTAAAATACCATCTCAAGTAAGCCTCCAAATGTCTAACGTACTCCATATCTTTGAAACTTCTTCAAAACTAGAAACAACAGTTAAATTTCTGAATATTTGCAATTCATATGTCTGGGATAACATTTCTCTCACACATGCTTATACTTTTAAATATGATCAGCAGTTGCTCATATACATAACGTGCACTTCTGAGGATAGCAAGAAACACCTCTCTAATTCTATGGTGAAATGATGTATTGAATGTTACAAAATTATTCCAAGATTGTGACCATACAAAGAAAAACAAATAATTTGAAAAAAGTTGCCCAACTTTCTTTTCCAGCTTTCATCAAAATGTATTCTAACTATAAAGAAAATTTTATACAACTTTTTTTACTTATCTATACTGAAAACAATTTATGTTTCTATGACTACATGTGTGTGTGTGTGTGTGTGTGTGTGTGTGTGTGTGTGTGTGTGTGTGTGTGTGTGTGTGTGTGTGTGTGTGTGTGTATATATATACACACACACACACACATTCACTTGTATGGGATATTGAAAATGTACATTTTAAATTTATTCCAGATCTAATGTTTGGCATATGTTATACTTTTACAACTTGTTTTTGTTATTAATATGATTATTTTAATTTACATTTAGTACCGACAACATTTTTACTTCAGACTTTATGCTGTCTGGCAACTAACAATGTAATGATTACATATAAGCTGAAGAATTTATTGATGTTGTGACAACTTTATTTTTATACCAAGTATAAAAAAATTTTTCACTTTCTTATTGTATATTGTAGAAAAGTACAATTGTTTCTTATAGTTAAAAACAAATAAAATAATACATTTATTTTCATTTTCATTGAAAACAGAAAGTCACATAGAAGTCATGTAGCCAATACATGTTTTACTGAGAGATTCAAGATATAAAATCTCTCATGTCACAGAAGTCGTGTAGCCAATACATGTTTTACTAATAGATTCAACATATCAAAACTCTCAAAGTCACAGAGAAGTCATGTAGCCAATAAAGGATTTACTGATAGATTCAACATATCAAATCTCTCGTATCACAGAAGTCATGTAGCTAACATAGGATTTACTGATAGATTTGACATATCAAAACTCTCAAGTAACATGGAAATTATGTAGCCAATACATGTTTTACTAATAGACTCAACATATCAAAACTCTCAAAGTCACAGAGAAGTCATGTAGCCAATATAGGATTTACTGATAGATTTGACATATCAAAACTCTCAAGTAACATGGAAATTATGTAGCCAATACATGTTTTACTAATAGACTCAACATATCAAAACTCTCAAAGTCACAGAGAAGTCATGTAGCCAATACATGTTTTACTGACAGATTCAAGATATCAAATCTCTCATATCACAGAAGTCATGTAGCTAACATAGGATTTACTGATAGATTCAACATATCAAAAGTATAATTTTAATGACACCTTTCTTCATAAAGTTGTTTTTTATTATATTAGTATTTTAACAACTAAAAACAAGAATAACATAATGGAAAAACACTTAATTATTGTAATAAAAACTGTTTTTTTTTGTTTTTTTTTACACAGACAAGGATTTAAGTTAGTGTACACCAATATTTAAATTGAAAGCTTTTTTTCTACAATGAATACGAAAAACAACTTTTACACAGAATGATGCAGTTTCATGAACAATAAAAGAATCTAAAATAATCAAACTTTTAACTCTTATTAAATGTTTATATATTAACATGCATGGAAGTATATGAGGATATCATTATTTTGATTTGTCATTATGCAAAGAATTAAACAGACGAAGAATAAATAACTTATTAACTAGAGAAATTTAAAATGAAGACAAGGTAATTTGATAACAATACAAAAGTGTTATAGTAACATGAAAATCATTGACAACCCACCAATGAATCAAAGAAAGCCATCATGCGTGGATCCTCCTTCACAGACTGGTGACTGTAGTCATGTGTCATGAACTGTCCACTCTCCAGAATCAGGTCAATATATTCCTCATGTGAATAGACTCTGCGAGGTGATATTTCTCCATAGTTTTCCAAACTTCCTAACCAGTCCGGAAGTGAAAACATACTCCATAACTAGGAGTAAAAGTTTTATTACTGAAATATAATTTATTACACAATTGTAAACAAAAAAGGTAAAATTGCAAAGCAAGCTACTGTTATACTGTCATGTACCCTTGTACACAGCACATGGGATATTTCAAACACAACTTTTAGGATCACCTCTTAGCACACAGATATTTAAAAACTATACATGTATGTTAATATTCATCTATGATCACTTGATTTTTGAGCTCCCATAGGTTGAACATTTGGTAAGGGTGTTTTTAAATCTTTTACAATTCATAAAATTGTCCTCATAAACAGCAAGGGTAGTCAGGCACTGATGATGCCTGATTAAAATCAATGTTAATAAAGGCTTGAAATATTATCACCCACATCTCTGAAAAAGCTGTTTCCAAAACATCTTTATTGTATAGTGTGTATCATGGGATAAGATTCCCTGCCAAAATACATCCCACACATACTCAATAGGAATACGTATTTGTAGTTAAGCGCAAAGCTACACAATGAACTATCTGTGCTATGCCCACCACAGGTATCAAAACCTGTTTTTTAACATTATGAGCCTTCAGACTTACTGGTGTGGCACTAGAAAGACAATGGGAATGAAATCCAACAAACATGTATGCCATTCTATTTGGATAAGACCCTCTCCTTCAAGGAATGTGAGAATAGTTTAACATGATGGGAGTTGTATCCTCATCCATGAGGCTTAAATCAGAGCCAATTTCACCAGCATGTGTTAGTGCACAGGGCTGTAAGCTACAGTCCCTATAATGTGTACAATTAAAGGTAGCATTCTATACGATGTAAAGATTAAAATATCTATCTATGCTTATTCCTATCATACCACACTTCTACAATCCTCATGTGTGTGTGTGTGTCCAATGAAAAATTAAGCTAGATCTGACTCTAGATTTTTTCCAAATAATAAGTATACACTTGTTACCTAATTTCATAGAGCTGCTCAACTCATCTTTAGAAAGATATTGTTCTTGGCATTATTGCAGGCAAACTGTTTTGTACTTTATGGCAAGTAAAATGCACTACACTGGACATCAACCATGCAGAACAACTCTGAGAAGACTGTTTTAAACTATTTGACATTGCATGGAATTGTGAACATCTGATTCAGTTTTAGAGTAGATAACCCACAACTGCTGCTAGCCAAATTCAACATACAAGTCACCTGCTTGTGTTGTGGATAATGATGGTCTGACTTTTCCAAATGTTTGAGCAATTATATCATTGATTTGGAACAGTTCCACATTCTGGTATCAGCACATTGAGACACTTGCAGTCCAGTTCCCAAATGCATGCCATGATTAGTTGTCTTCCATTTGTTTGACAGCTCACCACAATATCTCTTTGAGATCAATTCATGGTTCACAAACAGACTGAAACCTTTAATCTCTGTGAATATATATATATATATATATATATATATATA